AGAGTGAAGAGCTACAGAGTCTAAATTTCATGTATTTGAAACAAAAGGAAGCCAGTGGAGAATTGCAGGAATGGGCACCTGCTGCCTGCAGGGTATTTCCAGGATCTGCTCCACAGAGAGGGGCAGGCAGAGCAGAGGGAGTGGGAATGCACAGGATGAGAAGGGCTTTGCTGCAGTGTCACCTGTGCTGGTGGCACACAGGGCACCACAGAGCCAGAGCCAGCTCCTATCTACATCGAGGTGATGGGGACAGCCACCACAGGGCACCCAGACTCCATAAATCCACACCCTGAGCTCATCCTGGAGCAATGCAGCCCCAGGGTGACCCCTGGGATGTGAATTCATGGTGTCAAACCTTGGCTGTCTCATCCCAGAGCTCTTTTAACAGCCAGAAAAAGATTTGGAGCATCCAGCTCTGGCTCCTGCTCTGAATTGATACCATGAGAAACCCTGAACATCAATGTCCTCACTTCCACCCCCTCACAAAGCTCCTTTCTCAAGTAAAGAAACTGCCTTTTTCATTAGAAGCCCTGCAGATTGCTCTCAGAAACTACAAGACGAGCCAATTGTGCTCCCTGGACTGCTTAAATCCAGCCCATCACAATCAAGAGGCTTTTGTGATGTGTGTTTTGAGCAGCTCCCATTTCACCTCAGCTGGTGGAGTCTCAGTTCAAAGGCTAAAAACAGATGGATTCAACTCACCCTTAGTAACAGCAGCGTTAGGTGAGCCTGAGTCATTAGCATGCTTTACTGAAATAAATAAAAATGACAACCAAACAAACATGCAGGGTTGAGACAGAATCAAAAGAAATCATAAATCAACCAAAACAAAACCATGCCCCTCCCCATCCCCCAATTTCTGCCCCAAAAGAAAGAAAGAATGAAAAATATAAAAGAAAGCAACAGATGAGCAACTGAGTTTTGAAAATACAATGAAAATGCTTTAAAGATTTGTGTTATTCTGAAAAATACACCCATACTTTATGGGTGAAATAATCAGAATTTCATCCCTGCTATGTACAGTAATAAAAATAATTAAGTATCCAGAAAGAGAAATGCTATAAAATATTATTCATTCTCCTGTTTCTTATTGCTTATTTTTGTCCTATTTATTTTTCACGCAGCCCCTCACCAGGCCCTTGGCACAGGGAGGAGTGGGCAATGTCCAGCTGAGTTTACAGAACCCTTTCAGTTCGTGCCTCTCATCTTTTCCTGGCCCAGGTCCTGTGGCTTTGATGACAAGATGGACACACTGAAGTGGCTTTTTGGGCCACTTCCAGGGCTACCAGCAGCCAAAACCCATCTTGTTTTTCTCTAATCTCTGCGTGCATGTGTGGGGGACTGAACCCATCTGAAAAGCCATGGAGAGCAACATTTAATTTGGATGTTTTTCTCACCATTATTACCCCAAGATGCAGTCTAAGCAAGCATTAAACACACAAAGCCACTAGTAATCCTTTTTATTTTTTATCCCAACAAGAAAACTCTCAAAAATCACATATTAAACATGAGGGTTTCATTCATGAAGATAAAATTCTCCTTGGCTTTCTGGGCTGTGTAAGTCTGAAAGATCCACAATGAACAAGTGAAATCTTAAATTCCCTACACATCATTTCATCAAGGAACTGGAAACGCCTCTTGTGTTTCTGATGCTCCAAGCTGCCTAAAAACCTGGAAAACATCAACCTTGCAACCTCACTGCTGAGGCTGGAGCAAACCAGGCTTTGCCCAGGGAAGAGGCAGCCACAAAGTCCTCAAATCCCAGTGAAGCCCCATTCCTGGGGGACCTGCTGGACTCAAGAGCAGCAGATTTCCCTAATGCACCCTTGGCTTTCACTGTGGGGCAGCAGGAGGAAGGACAGGGCACTTTTGGGGTCTGACTGTGATGCCTTAGGATTTTAGCTTTTAAATGTTTCAAATCCTATACTGCTTTGGTGTATAACTGAAATCAATATAGAGTGTCAGCTACTGTCTTCACATTTTGGGCAGACAACAATTCCTCTCCAGGCCTGGGAAACAAGAATACCTCGCTGCCTCAGGCCCTGAGAAATGTAAACAGCAATGAATTTGGGGGTCAAACTTGGTGTAAATGAGTTCATTACTGAAGCTGTAATTGGAAAATTAACCTCTCATATGTGAATGGACCAAACCTATAATTGTCTGAAAAACTCATGGCCATTGTCCATCTTGAGTGTAGCCTCTGGGAGGCTCCTTATTGCCCAAGGTGTGCCTATCAAAGACCTTCAATAAATACCCATTTCACTCTCTTAATTTTGTCTAAACTCTGTTCTAGGCAGCCATCCCAAGGTGACCCAGATGGGACAGGAGAAACTGATGCCTTGGGATGGCCACCTAGAGCACAGACTGGAGCAAGAAGCTTTTCTCAATGCAATTTAACCCCAAGAACGAGGTTAATAATGCAGGAAATAAACTCAGCAAGGTGCCCTGTGTTGAGAGAGCCACACATCTGCATGCAGTGCTGCCTGGGGAGCTCAGAAAGCAGCAGCAAACAGAGAGCCCAGCCCCACACTCACAGCGGGAAACCTTGAGCGTCATGGGCATCTTCTGCACGATGGTCCTGAGCCTGGGGAAGGCTGCAAAGCAGCAATAGTCACTCCTGCTGTCACTCTCCTCCACGTTGGCAAAGTAGAGATCTCCCTTCAGGCTCATGGAGACCCTCTCGTCCTGTGGGATGTGCTGCAAATCTGGCAAGGGAAAGTAATAGTGAGGTGGTGTGGTGTCGCAGACATTTCTTCATAGAAATCCTTTCTTTGGGATTTGTCCTTCTTCTGGGAAGAAAAGGGCCCCAGAAGAAGAATGTAAACAAATTGTTATCGGCTGTTGTGAGATGTGGCAGGTGATCCTGTGATTGGCTCATTTTGCATGTTTCCAACTAAGGGCCAATCAAAGGAGCAGTGCAGGGGAGATTCCTTGAACACAGAACTTTGTTATTCATTCTTTCTATTCTATTCTTAGCATAGCTGCTCTCTGCAACTTCTCTTCTTATTCTTTTTAGTATAGTTATAATGTATTATATATCTTATATCAATAAATCAAGCCTTCTGAACAAGGAACAAGATTCTCGTCCTTCTCTCACCACAGTGACCGTCTAAGGTCGCTGTAATAGTGTGGGAATTGGAAATACAGACACTGAAGGGTTTGATCTGCAGGCTTGAGAGATGCTTGGATTATTGTAAAAATATAATACACAGATATTAAGCAGAAAAATCATAAACCTGTATTTCTATAGCTGTAGATGAGAATATGGCTTAAGTAAATGAGAAACTGTACTGATAAGATGGTGAAGGGTTTATAATGTAGGGGCATGGTTGTATGAAATAAACCAAGAGTTTACAAGTTATGATAGAAGCATATGTGTACATGTGATAATTGCCCATTGGATAAAAGTATCCACAGTGCAGCAAAATTAAGTAAATGGGATAGGTTAGAAAAGCAAAATCAACCCTGTGGCAACTGTCCATTGGGTTAGAAATTCTGTATTGCCTTGTAGCAAAGAACCTGTGACTTCCCTGAGCTATGGCCGAGTTCTTGCTCCTCTAAAACCTCTCAGCCTCTGAGACTGATGTTTATCTGAGCAATAAATCGTTCTTAGCCTGAAAATAGTCTCATCCCATCATTTCTAGCAGTAAACGATAAGGAGGGACAAACACAGGGCAGTTTCACCCAATGCTCCCCTCGTGTGCTGCCTTCCAGATACAGAGAATGAAACTCTGAAGTAAAAGAGGCAGAAAATCCAGCAGAGGCAATGGGTTATTTACCAATATTCAGTATAAAAGTGATTAAAAATATTTTTATATAATAATGTATACCTATATAACTGATAAGGAAAAATTGATAACTAAAAAACAGAGTTATTTTGCTTTCCAAAAGCCAGAAATTCCTGCAGAACAGAAATGCTGCAGAGTAATAGGACAGCAACCCACCAGGAGCAAATCATAGAAACCTGGTGGATTATTTTTCCCTTAGTATCATAAATCAATCATCAATGTAGGGAAAGAGGAAAACAATAATGATAGAAATAACATATTGACACGTCATATCCTCTCTCCTCTAAATGCAGGACTCCTCATCACTGATAGATTCAGCAATATATAAATTATTTGATATCTCATCTTTAATGAGATGCTGTGTCAATGCACTCAACAATTTAACTTTGGGTCATGTTAAACCAGATCTCTACTCTCCATTTTTAAATTTTGTTCTTCAATATTCAGATATTTCTCCCAAGCACTTGCACAATTACAATTCCTACCCATGACAAATCTGCAATGAAGCTGCTCTGAAAGACAAATGCTTTGAGCCCCCTTGTATGAATTGTGCAAAAACAATTTACTCACCAATATTCATCCAGTAGATATGCAAAGGGGGGATGCCTTTTGGGGGGTTGCAGTGCAGGATCACAGAATCTCCATGCTCCACATCCAGAGGCTCGATTTTCTCTTTAGGGAATTTTGGTACACCTGCACAAAAAAGCAAAGAAATTCCTTTATTATTGAAAGAGGTTCCTCTATTATTGGTACCTTTTGAAATTTTGCCTTTTGCTTTCTTCTTGATACATTTTTAATAAAATATTTACCTTTACATCATCCTTTGCATTCTCTGCCTTTAATACTGATTTTAATTTGCACAGAGTAATGATGGGTTTTACTCAGAGTAGGAAATCCCTGCACTCTGGAACACTCACAATAAGATTCCTTTCATTCACAAAGTTCTTGGAGCATCCTATCCAAAGCCAGGCACTGAATGGAGATGTTTAACACTTGTTTGTGATGTCCTGTGCTTTGCTTTGGCTTTACTTTAACACAATTCTTTTCAAACACTTTCTTTAGCTCCTTTGTGCTGTCTGGAAGGGACCAGTCAAGGCCAGAGGGTCCCTAAGGACAAGCCTGGCACCGAGGGCTGTGCACTGGTGGGGCCCCAGCTGGTCCCAGTGATGCTTCAGGTTTGAGCTTTTCTATTTTTCACATTCTGTGCTGCTTTAGTGTGTCGGTCTGGGATTCATATCAGGGATGCTGAGCTCTGTGTACAGAGCAGGGAGACAAAACAATTCCTGCTCCAGCTGGGCACCAAGGACAAATGATCCCAATCTCAGCCCAGGAGCACAAACCCCGTGGGCTGGAGAGAGAAAAACAAGCAGGGTGGGACTGCCTGGGCTAAAGCTGGGATGGGACAATGAACTGCAAGGTGCAAATGGAGCAGAACTGATCCCAGGGACAGAGCCCGTGCCCCTCGTGCATTTTGGGGCCATTTGTGGTTCATCTTGGGTGCAGCCCTGGCTGGGCTCTGGTGCTGCCCAAGGTGCATCCATGGAGGAGATGCTTTGAATAAATCCCTGCTTTATTCTGTGATTCTGCTCAGCCTCTGCTCCAGGGCAGCCTGCACAGGGCATCAGCAGGAGATCAGGAACCAGCCTGGGAGTTGGAACATTCTGGGAATCCTTGGATCAACCATAGCTCCCAAGGACCCACTGCAAGTCCCTGCAGGTGAGGACAAGCATCAGGCTCCTGTCACAGCTCTCCTCCATCTCCAGGATCAGAGGAAGGCTGCTCTGAAGCCTCTGTTGCCTCCTCAGGCCTGGAAGCTCAGCCTGGATTCCTGCAGGGCTGCAGGGATAGGCTTGGCACAAAGCTCACAGGGCTGTACCAGGGCTGCTCCAGCTGGGCTCAAACACAGCATAAATTGTTCATGCATCAATGTTTCACCACCCACAGCACCTGATGCCAGCACTTTGTTCCAAGCCTGGCACACCTGGGCAAATTTGGATGCCCAAAACGCCACTGGAGCTGATGTGGGAAAATGAGGAGCAAAGCTGGGTTGGAGCCCACCCCAGAACCAAAGGAGGCTCAGCTTGGAGGTGATCCCAGGAAAAGCAGCCTGCAAGATGGAACCACCCTTGAAGGAACTGAGCTGAGGCAGTTTCAGGGCTGACGTTGCCTCCTGCTTTCATTTCAGGCAAGTTCCAACTGGCCAAAGTTTCACTTCAGACCAGCATCAAGCAGTAAAATGAGCAGCTTAATTAAATTAAATGAAGCAGCAAAAGATGGAGAAGGTCCTGGGTGTGCAGAGTCAAACTGGCACAGCCAACATCACCTCCCTGTCACAACAGGGAGCTCTGAGAGCAGCTCCACAGCTTGAGACCTCAACTGTCCAGCAGGGAACCTGCAACATCCCAAGGCAGGGGGCAAAGGAAAGGAGAGGGGCAGAAATTCAGGGATGGGACTCTGAGGACACTTCACACCTCTCAGGATTGGTAAACATGAAAAGAAGCAATCACTCCAGTGCTGAATGCAGACTCTGCAGAGATTTTATCTCCAGCAGGGTTATTAATAGGTTAGGAATTCTTAGGAGTGGCAAAATGCAGCTGATGAGCATCACTCACCCAACTCTGTAGGTGAAATTTCAGGTATAAAAAAGGAGCTGCATATTCATATCCAGTACCTTCAGCAGCCTGCACACTTCAAGCCCTGGGAAATACATCTGCTGACTGCAGAGGTGGAATATTTTCCAGCAGGAAAAGGCCAATTTCTTGATCTAAAGCTTATTTATTCCCCAAAGCACGTCACTCCCAACACAACTTTCAATAAGCTGGGTCAGGGAAGGATAAAGGGATTTCTGACCAAACCAATGGATCAGCAAATGGACTAATATGGCACCACTTATTTAGGACATTGGAACCCCTTGTTCAAACCCATTTTTTGCCTCATTTAGCAGAACAGAATCTGGGTTTCTGATGTCCCAGCTGGGTGCCATAACCACGGGGTTCCTCAGCGAATTTCTGTGGCCAGTAATTACAGAATTATACAGAAATTCCCTCAGTCCCACCAGGAGACAGTGACAAGCCACAGTCCTGGTGTCACTAGCTGGCAGCACAGACATTCATCTCCAACATGGGGCCCAGATGTTGGCAGCTGGACTTCACTGGGGGAAGCAGCAATTTGACCCCAAATGTCCTCCACCTCCAACAAGTATTTGCACCACAGGTTCTTCCATGCCTTTTTTTTTTTCTTTTGCTCAGTTCACCATGAAAAGCACTGAAAAACTTTGATTTTCATCCTCATAATGGATGAATTTGACTTGTTTAATCCTTGAAGCTTTGCAAGAAATGAAAACTCATGATAAATTCCTGAGCCAAACTCTCTGACAAGCATAATTTTTTTGCTGGGGTCCCACTGGTCTCAAAGACTAGAAAAAATACCTGCTTCTGAATTCCATTTATTAAAAATAAAAAGCTTCTGTCACATTAGACTTTGCCTTTTGCACATCAATCTTCAGAATGTCTATGCAGGCAATATTTTGGATGTTTTTGCAGGGCTGCTATGTTCTAATTAGAGGATATTCTAGAATCAATCACCACTGATTTGTGGCTGATCACAGAAAGTATCACAGCTGAGTTCAACTCTACAGCATAATAAAATAAACACAAAATAAATTGTGCCATGGAAGTGTTTGATATTGAACAGAGCTCTCAGTGCAGCACAGAATTCCAGCTGATGTCTCTGCAGTGACAGCAGTGACACTGCTCCATCAATATTCCATGGAATCCCCACACAGGGATGTGATGGGAGGGGACAGAAGGAGAGCAGAGGGATTTGGTGACTCTGAGGAAGCCCCAGCAGGGCTCTCACCCCACACAAGTCATGGGGTGTGAGTGGGACAGCCATGGGGAGGGTGGAAATCTGCACTCCCAGCTCCACCTATGGAGAATCTCCCAAAATCCCACCATGACACCTCTTCAAATACCCCTGGGAAAGGCTTTGCTGACCAAGGGTTTTTCCCTGACAAGGCTGCACTCAAAAACCAGAACTGAAGTGCTCTGACAGTGTGCGAACCATGCAAACAGAAGATTATCAGTGGCCAGAGCCATTTGTGCAAGGAGCCAGGATCTGTTTAATCCCTGGGGTGACTCAAAGTTCAGTGACTGAGCTGTGCTTGAGACCAGGCTGGAGCACCACATTTGGGGGGCTGGGAAAAAATCCAGAAAGATTCCTGAGCCTCTCCCCTTTATCCCTTCAGAAAATGCAGTTTCTCAGCCTAAAGCAAATAGGAGGGAAACCAATACAGTGCAATAGAAAGGCTTAATTTGAGTTTAGCAGAAATAGAGATTCAGAAATACAGCAAGCAGAGCTGGGAACTCCAGTCCCCAACATAGCTCCAGATTTACTCAGGGATCCATTTAGGACACCTTGTCCTACTGTTCAGTTTTTGTCCTACAGCTCAGTTTTTGTCCTACTGCTGATTACAGTGACTTCACACTAAAACTGTATCAATTATGGCAATTTATTCCAGTTTATGTGAGAATGGAATCCATTTCATCAGGTATTTTTCATGTTTTGGGGTCAAGTGTTGAGAAATGGAACAAAGGAAAAGCATTTCTCCAGGTGAATTGTCCTTGAGATCCCTGTGTCTTGTTTCTACCAATATCAGGTGTAAAATGGGAGTGAATTGAGGATAATAAATCAGCAATTAGCAAATACATTGAAAAAATAACTGTAGAAAAGCATCACTGTAACCCAGGTCTGGTTCAGAAAAGCATCACTGTAACTCAGGTCTGCTTTTATAACATTCCCTGTGGATTCTACTAAATATATCCTGGGATAAAGGAGAGTTTAGCATGATCCATCATGGATAGTCTCATAGTTTTCCTTGCAAATAAGCCCTTAAAGGATGTAAAAGTGAGGCAAAGCAGAAATAGTCAAGAACTTTCTACAACCTCAAAATTTCCAGCTCCATAGACACTTAAATTAGTATCTAATTATGATTTTTCATACAGATCTGTATCCTGTTCAGCAAATAACCCAACATTTTAAGGAATCTGAACCATGACTTGCAGTCCCTGATGTTGAGCTGCTCTGAGTGAAGCCTGGGAGGTTTCCAGGGCTCATCTCTGTGCCTCAATTGATATTCTGATCCATGGAGCAGGAGCAGTAGTTACATCTGTAATTTCCATTGCAGCCTTTGAACTGGTTATGAGATACGACCCTGCTTGTTTATGGATTTTTTAATTGCTGCCTTAAATTGAAAAAGTTAGCAAAGCCTGGCTGTCAGGGAGAGCCTGGCTGGGAGTCCACTCACTCCTGAAGATGTGGAATGGAATCAGTGACAGCTTTTTTCTGTGTAAATCTTTGTTATCCTCTCCCAAATGATGGCCACAGGCAGGAATCAGAGCAAGCTCCGTGATTTAGGTGGCTCCATGATTTAGGTGGCCATAGGGGAAGGTCACTGGCTTAGGAGGAAAGAGGGTTAAATTTCATCTCCATCACCTGCAAAGTCTCAGTGAATTGCTCTCTTTTGTTTTCTCTACCATTAAAGCTACACCAAAGCCTTCACAAAACCTCCTCCTTCAATATCAGCTCAGCATCTTGTACTGATTTCAGGATATTCACACCTGAGTGTTTGAATATTTATTCAGGTCTGGTTTCTTTGGGAGTTCTTGCTCTAACATCACATCAGAGCACAGCTTGCAACAGGATAATTTTACATTCAGCCAATTTTTCCATCCTCAGGTCTCTGGTCTTTTGGAGCAGCAGCTTTAGAAATACCAAGCATAAATCTTAACTCAGTCTGCCGTGAAGAGTCTTTCACAGCACAGTTAATTAAAGAAGTTTAAAGTGTACTTCTTCTCCTTCCTCTGGCATTGGGCCTGCTCACTAATTCAAGCAGCAGATTCCCGAAATGCTGGAGGAGGGGAGCTGAAGTCTGTGTTCTCACCATTTAAATTCATTTTCATGCTGAATGTATCTTGTAACAATCTGGCCTTTGTTAGTGCTGCAAACACATCGAGATCCTCCGAGCCCATTCTTCCCCCTCTCCTTAATGTCATCCTACATAGGGGAGGTGGGGTGTTTTCATTATGTAGGTGAGATTTAATGATCATTTCTGCTGACATTTCTATTGCTTCCCTGGAATGACTACTGTGAGTAAACACTCTTTTGTTCTCCTTTTCAGCAGCAGCCTCACAGACCCAGTATTCTGCTTCTGCAGTGGAAATGTAATTTATGAAAGAAACTGCTCTGCTCTGCCTCACTGGGGTTTTTTCCCTTCCCTGGCACGGTGACTTTGCCAAGGAGCTTTACATCTGCCCTGAATGCAGCTGGCACAGCTCTGCCACCTCTGCATTATCATCATGAATGCAGGGAGTGATCTCACAGGTGCCAGTGTGCGCTCCAAAACCTGGGGGTGAATAGAGGTGATTTATCCCCAGCCCCTCCCTGGCAGGTTCTGATTTACAGAGGATCTGTGCACCAGCAGCTCTTCCACTGGGGCACAGTTGTAGAGCACTTTAGAAAATCAAAGGTGCCTTCTACTCCTCTCTGAATCCTCATTTAATTTGCAGCTTTTACACTGCACCAGTAAATGAAAGAACTGATGGCAGAAGAGTTCTAATAACAGCAAATGTGCTTCAAAAGATGTGTGAGTTGGGTAAATCCCTCTAATACATTATCTGTACCATGTATTTTTTTTTGCTGGGTTTAGGAATTTGCGTATATTAACACTAAAATTCCTCTTGCTTTTGATAACAACCATGTTTGTAACCTCTCCATAAATTTGTTGCCATCCACTCCCAATATATTTAATATCTACTTAAGCTACTCCAGACTGTTCTTCATTAAAAGCAAAAATCTCCTCTCTGAATACAGATTCAATAATCCCAAATACAGACATCAACTCCTTGCTTTCCATCTTTTTTAGTTCAGTAGCAATTGAATATCAGAATATGCTGCTGCTGGAGGTACAAACAACACTGAGGACTTTAAGTCCCCTCAAATGTAATGAGTTTGAGACATTTTGCTTTAGAGATGTTGCATTAACCCCACTGCCCAAAGTCAACAGACATAAATGGATTCCAAAGTCAAAAACTGTGTCTGAAGTTTGACTGCATCACTCTCCTGTCCCTGCCTGAAACTCCAGCCGCCATCAGCTGCCCATCCTACCCTGTCAGCAGTTCAATAAACCTCAGCTCAGTGTCCTAAAGCTTTCTGCAACTCTCCTCTGCTCTGGAAAGCTCTTCCCTAAAACAGCTGCAAGGTAGAGAGAGACTAACCCACAGAGCAGCACCTGGAATGCTGCAAATTCCTCACCCAACACCAAGCTCTGGCATCAGGGATTGCTGCGTGGCACATTGCAACAAAAAATAGATTTCCCAAGGAAAAATAAATCCATAAAGCTGGATGTGAGGAAAATAAATGTGTCTTTCATGAGGAGCACTCATAAAATACATTTACATGGCAGCCTCAGCTGCTTCCTCCCTCCCAGGAACCCTCCCAGCCCTTGCAATGTCTTGTTTTTAATGTACCCACAGCACCAGGACTCTCCCAGCCCTGCCTGTGCCTGGAATGCTCCTCAGGATTATTTCCTATGCTGAAGACAGGACAAAAATGTTTATTCATGTTTCTCATAGCCCATATCATCTGCCAGAAGTGTTTTCTGTACAAAAGCAGCCACCTCCTGTCATGGTGTGGCTGGGAAGGCTGTGGATGCATCCCCTGCCACATGGATTCCACCTGAGCATGGAGCTGTCAGATATTTCATAACAAAATACTGAGGGAGCTTGGAAATGCAGGATCTCTGAAAAAATCCACTGCACTGCTGCTTTTCTCCATCTCTGCCACTGAACTGCGTCACAAAACCTGCTTCAGGTTCTCACCCTGCTCCACCATGGAGCTGGGGAGTTTCTTGTCCTTTCTCCTCTCTCTGGGAAGATTCTGCTTCTGATTTTCCTCTTCTCATTTCCTATGTTTCAATCCTGAATTTAGAACCAAAGTGTGTGCTCACATTCCAAACTACAGGTGATTAAATGGATTGGTACAAACCAGTTGTTTCAGCTTTGGGACATGGCTGAATGCTGAACCTGGCTGGGCTAAGTGTTGGACTCTGATTTTAAGAGCTTTTTGCCAACCTTAATAATTCTTTGATTCTATCCACAAATTTCATGCCACTTCTACAAACCTGGTCCTTAATCCTTCATTTCCCTCTCTGCCCTTCCTCAGTGCTAATAAAGCACAAACTTCTAGGATCAGTAATTTTCCCTGCTTTAAGCTTGTTTTCTATTTCAGTTCCAGGGCTTTACTTTTCTCCCCATCAGTATTTATCCCAGACCTTGAATGCTGCTGACATCAGATTAATGAACTCACAGCTGATCAAATCACTTCCCCTGGAGTTTTCAAACATTTGCATCCGTTGCTATTTTGCAGTAATAACCTGTGGGAGTTGATAGTTCAGTGGTCTGAAATCCTACATCCAGATTTAGTTTCTGTCCTCAAAACCAGGAATTTAATTAAACTATTCCAAGAAGAAAATACCATTTTTTTCTCTGAATGTTCACTGAATAACAAACAACTCATGTTTTGCCATGTGAGCTGGTTCTTTCCCATTTACTTTGAGGAAAGACAGTTCTCATCTTAATAATAAAATAAAAATTACAAATTTAAACCAGAAATGAAGGGCTTACTTGGAACAATCAGCTCAATTTCCTCTGACATGGCAGTTCCCAGCACGTTGGAGGCAAAGCAGCGATATTTCCCTTGGAAATTGTTGATGATTCCCCGGTTTTGGATCACAAAAGTTCCAGAGTTGTTAGTTGCAACTATCCTGGGGTCAGATGATAAATCAAATGGTTTTCCATCCTTAGTCCAGTTAAAGCTGAAAAAGAAAAGGAATGTTACAGTGGGCAGGCCCCAGGACAGCATTGTGGTATTAATGAGGGGTAAATATCAGGCCAAGAGGGTTTTAGCAAAATAAAAGGAAAAGCTGGATGGAAGAGGAGAGAACTGAATGGCAGAGTGCCCACTGTGCCCCTCTGCCTCGTGCTCGGGCACATCCCTCCTTCCACTCTGCTTTTCTTGGCTGTGCCATGAGCACAGAGCTCTGCAAGGACAGGGACAGACAGAACATCTGGGAAAGACACACACCCACAGCACCTGCAGGCTGGCAAAGGCTGTGCCTGCCATGGAATTCCTGCTTTGGAATGGCAAAGATCCACAACAGCTTTCCCACCCTCCACCAGGGCTCAACCAGAAGAAATTGAGATGATTCCATTGAGGTTCTCCTTGCCACAGATCCATTTGTAGTTGTGATGCTGTTGGGGGGTGATTTTGATAAATGCTCTTCCTGTGCCTGCAATTCTGGATTGAAATTTGCCTAAACTGATTCTAAATCAAACAGCTGGAAATTGCAGTAACATCATTTTAGTGGCAGATGTGCCTTTCTTTGTGGTTTTAAGAGAAGAAATAATTAAAAACAAGACCACTGTTTTGGCACTTCAATAGTCTTGGTAAAACTGCCTTGCTCCAGGATGGAGGGAATATGGGATCCTTGCTCCAGGAATGAATGAATATGGGATCCCTGCTCCAGGAATGAAGGAATATGGGATCCCTGCTCCAGGAATGAGGGAATATGGGATCCCCTCACCTAACAGGCACTACCACATCATTTAAATACACCAGGAAACTTTCCACTGATGCACTGACAAACAGTGGAACAAAGGGAATTTATTATCACGCTACAAATCCCCATTCAGAGCTCAATTAAAAACTACCCAAATCGTCTTGATCTAAATAAAAGAATGCCTTTTAAAGTTAAAATTGTATTGCAAAGAAAGGAGAAGGGAAGGACTAAAGAGAAAAAATGACATTCAAACCAGCTATTAATTTAGCCCAAACACCATTCAGTGGTGAAAGCCTCAGGAGGAGTTTTTACTGTGTTATTATTACACTCTTGTTAGTCACATTTTCATTAAAAATCTTTCTTTTTTCCACACTGGTGTAAAATGCACAGAGCTTATCTTTGGATATTTATCTGAATAACTCTTTCTGTGTCTGTCTGTACCATCACCACGGCCCTGCTGAGGTTAGGTACGAACAAGGTATCTGATAAAATGCAAATTGCTGTTTGAATACACAGTTTTATGTGGTTGGGATTTTTAGGGTTGCTGTGGAAGAGCCAGAGGAACAGCTGGGCCCCTCTGATTACCATGACACAGCCCATCTTTTGCAGCACAACCCAGACAAGGTTTTTTTTAAAACCAGGGGGCGAATTTGGCACGTGGCAGAGAAATCAAACATCCCCCAGCAAGGAAAACCATGTTGATACCTATTCACAGGGTGAGGGGAAGTGATGGAGCAACAAAAGCTGAATGGCCTGAATGGAAAGCCAAACCTTAACCCTGCTGAGGATGATGAGCAGGTTTTTGTGCAGCAGCTCCTGACAGACACAGCAATGTTTGGCAAAGGTTAAAAGCAAACCCAGCTTCTGTTTGCTCCTCCAAGCAGTACTCACGTGGGCTGGGGGTTTCCTCTGGCTTCACATTTAATGGTGAAGTCCTCATCAAAGGGGTAGGCAACCTGGGTGTGGGATTGCTCTGTGATTGTTGGAAGCTGGGAAACTGAACACAAAGAGGAATTGGGTTAAAACAGAGTTCCAGCCAAACTGGGCTGCCCTCGAGTGAAGAGGGACAATACAGTAATATTGCATTATTCCTACAGAAAGTGAGCCTTGCCTTGGGAAAGGGATGATCATGGACATCACCCTCTGGTCACTGTCACTGCCTCCATGGCCAACAAAAGGCCTGGCAGAGGGACAGTGCCCACCCTGATTCCCCTCCAAACCCACCCAGGGCACAGGGGAGCTGCGACCACGCCAGAGCCAAAGGCAGAGCACGGAGCTGTGGCAAATTCATTCACAGTGAAGTCAGAAACTGGATTTAATCCAGACACAGATGCACACACATGAAGTAGCAAACTGCTGCCTCCATCCTGGATAAAACTGCCAGAAAAGCCATGGACTGCAAGGATGGTTTAATGCCTGCCCCAGGGTGCAGCTGCGTGGTCACGCACCAAGGCTGCACCAACTTCTGGGTCTTTCTGAGGGAATTAAAGTGTTGCAAAAGCCTGTGTAACAGAGGAAGGAGAATGTTCCCTGCAGTGGAGCTGGGATAATAGGATCACCCCATTGTTATAAACAGCCAGGAAGAGAATTAAAATGCTCTTTGTGTGCTGCTTTAAGTGCAGGGAGCTCAAAGCTGCAGTGAAAATCGGTGTCTTGTCATATCACATGGCCTCAAAGCTGAACACTTCCAAGCCCACCAGCTCCACTGATCAGAAATAACTTTTTTTATTATAGTATAAAATGCTTCATTACAGCTAATTAAGGTTTAGGTGGTTCCCTGGGGCAGGTTCATAAAAGCAGTGGATGCCCAGAGAGTTTGTCCTGTGCTTTACAGTAACAGCTCCATTTTGACTTTACTGAAACACAAGGAGCCACTGCAGCTCCTTCCTAAAAGAATCCCCAAAAATCTACTTCCCAATGCAAATTTGGATAGTTTTACAAAAATATCCTATAAACCTGCTTGGTTGGCTTTCTCTTAGCAGCCAGGGCTATTGGCAGGCTCCAGAGTGCTAAGAGCTCATGGCAGATCCGCAGGATGCCCTGAAACTGACCCATGTCCTACTCTGAGACCCTGAAAAGAGCCTAAATTTATTCTTCCTTAGGTTTACTTCTTTCTTTTTCCCCACCATAATTAATAAATCCTAATATTGTTTAGTTTTGCTTTTTGGGATTGTTTTTTTTGTTTTCTGCAACCAAAATAACAAAGTAAAATGCAGTTTTCAACCCTCCTGTCCATTTATGACTGAAAAATGCAAAGCTGGGGAGGTCTGGGCTGTACTCCAGGAAGAGGGGTCCTCTGGCTTTCCTTGGATTGCTCCCTGTGAGCCTTATCCCATATTTTACACGTGTCCTGGAAGCTCATGATCCATGTAAAACAAGCAGTTTGAATTCATCCCAGCCGGCGAGGGACGCGGGAGCTGCTCCCCAGGGCAGGGCACAGAGTGTGAAATCCTCCTCTGGGGACCAACGCTGGCCCTGAGACATCCACCTGCTCCTTCCCCAGGCTGGAATGGCAGCTTGCACGGCAAGGAAGGAGGGATTTATGCACATCAAACAAGCTTCAGGGGGATTCAGAGCCAAAATAAGGAATTTAAGTGAAGGACAAACCCAAACCCTCGGAGCTAAGCGTTGTGTTGGATGGCAAACACCAGAGAAATGTTATTAGACAACTTTACTGCTCCATTTAAGCAGGCCCAAACAGGACAGCTTAGCTTTTGATCAGAGCTGAATTTCCCAAAGGCCACATTGTGGCAAGATTAAATTCCAAATGGAACACAACTGGAAAGGAGGATTTAGTATTTTTCCTTCAGGGATAGCTGCAAAGGAACACCAAACAAAACCAGCAAAGTGCACAGCAAATAACTACAACTCACCTGATAATGGTATTTCAATAGCTGCTGCCAAACTCAATACAAAGAAAAACAGGCATATGGTGATGCCTTTTGTGCTTAATAGCATCTCCATCACTCTTCTGTAAACAAGGAGTCCAAACAGAATGAGAGATACCTTATGCTTCTGCTCACTGTCACTTCAAATCAGGCACAGGGACGTGAGAGTGGGAGTCTGGTGGGGAGAACAAACAGCAATATTAGCCTGGTGGGTCTGACACAGTTATAAAATTAAAGCAATGCTTCAGGTTTGCAGCTAAATTGCACTAAATGGTCCATTTTCCTCTCGTCCCATCCCCTGGCTTCAGGAGCAACCTCTATTTAAATTCTAACAAAAAAACACATGCACAAAAGTACAGCTCTATTGTAGCACAGAAATATAATTTTTTTTTTTTTTTTTGCTGTTTGGCAATTAAAAGTAGGGATGGTTTAGAATATGGTGTCTTTGTAATCATTCCAGTTCATAAATTTTTCTAATGAGAGTTATGTAAGTTGGAAAGTAATGTAACAGATCTAATGAGAGAAATTTGGTACACTAATGACCTTGTTCATAAATCTCATCTGTCTTTTATCTTTCATTTATGCTCAAAGAAGGACACAATCTCATTTAGTTCATTACTAGGAAGCAGAACATGAAACCTTTGCTTTTCCCTCCCAGTCCCAGAACTGCTCTATGTGGGTTTTACACATTCCATTGGACACCCTTAGGTTCTGAATGACAGGGCAAAAATATTGTGTAGCTGCAAAAAGGAGACAGGTACAGCTCTAAGTGAAATTCACAGAGAAGATAAGGAGAGAATTCTGATTTAGATGAAAAATCAGAGAGGAATTGTTCCCTGGGAGGGTGGGCAGGCCCTGGCACAGGTGCCCAGAGAAGCTGGGGCTGCCCCTGGATCCCTGGCAGTTCACTGGGGCTTGGAGCAGCCAGGGATGGTGGAAAGTGTCCCTGCCCAGGGCAGAGGCTGAGAGAAGATGATTTTTAAGGCCCCTTCCGACCCAAATCACTCTGGGATTCTGCAAAAGTGGGTGCACAGAGGATTCTGATCACCAGCTCCATCCACAGTCCCTGAGTGAATTATTAACCACCACGAGCTGTGTTCACCTCTCACAGCACTAAGGGACATCAGTCTCAGGAGAATTCAGACTTCACTTGACGGGATAACTGTGAAAGAACAATTCTGAAGACAAGGCCACAGTGCAGCAACCATGGATCCACCAGGCAGGCCTGGCTGGCATGGCCTGGCCTGCTCTGCTCCATGGGCACAGCTCACCAGGGCAGTGCCCTGGCAGCCCAGCTGAGCCTGCCTCACACACAGCTCTGGTATCTTTGCACATCCCAGCCCGCTAATCCAGGGATCAGAAAGGCAATCCCGGGATCACAGGAGCAGTTGGCATGTGGGGACAGCAGGAGGTGGCACCGTGCATGGCTGGGCTGGCCTAGCACAGCTGGGGCAGAGGCCGAGCTCAGCCCACAGCCACACCCTCCAGTCCATGGGGGTTTTCTCCTCATGGCTGCTTTGCCCTGCAAACTGAGATGTTTTCCCCCAGCACATTCCCTCTCACAGCTGGTGCTGTGGCCCTCCCTCCAGGACGAGTTCTGTTCACACCAGCCCACAGAAAGTTGCTGGAAGTTCACATCTGTGAGACCAAAACCCCCAGCTGGGGATTGCAATTGGCCAACGAGGGGCAGGCGACAGACACCATAATCACATAAGCCTCATTTGTTTAGAAATGAGGCTAAAAACCAGATGTCTTTTAAGTATCTTAGGCCCAGAGTATTTGCTGATGGAAGAAGCTGACTAATCTGCTTAGTGCCCCGTTCTGCAGAAGGGCACTGGAGGGGACAGGGACAGGGGACAGGCTCAGCTGGCACCCCCAGGCCATCCTGGGTGTAAATCAGCCAGAATCAGGCAACACCAGCAGCTCTCTTCCCTCAGTTTCAGTTCTCCTGGCTCTGATTTGTGAGCAGTGGAGCTTTCCAAAGCTCAGCCTGCCCAAACCTGGGCTGTGTGACAGCACAGGGGACACACAGGACACACAGCAGCCCCAGCCAGCAGCCACCTGATGGCTGCTGTCACTGCAGGATGGGGCTGTCCCCCTCCTCACCTGCTCCTGGCACACGCTCAGCCCCGGATCTGTGTCATGGCAGTAAAACAGATGCTCTGACAGAAAACCCTCTGGATGCAGAATTGCAATTTAGGCTCATAAAAACCTGCCCAGCCTTGCTGCCTGCAGATGGCACATTGGTGGCAGCGAGAGCCTCCTCTCCTCCATCTGCTGACAGCTCTGGGGACAGGAGCAGGCAGGTCAGGATGACAGCCAGAGGCAGGAGAGCTGGGATTACACAGGGTGTGCAGCTTGCTAAGGTCACAGCAAGTTTCATTTTAGATGAGTGTCACAAAGCATTGTATAAATTCAGATTAAATACGAGAAAAAAAGCAAAAACTAGAGCACAGCTCGATTCCTTAACCAAACCAATTAGCTCACACCTTATTTTTTTCTTATTTTTTTAAATGAAGTGCCACAGCAGAGCAGCAACGTTCCAAGGAAGCAGGATGTCCTTCATCATGTGGCACAGCCTGCCTTGCCTCTGCAGGCTGCTGTAATTAGTCGGCCTGTCTAGCACCTCACTCCTGTCCCTGGCTTGAATACTAATGCTGGGGGCTGGCAGCAGCAGCATTTGGGAGCAGGCAGCACAGGGGGAGCAGCAGGGATGGACTTGTGCACACCCAGCAGGTAATTCCACCTGGGGACCTCCCTGCAGCTGCCTTGGATCTCTGTTGGATTTTTAGGAGGGGATTCCATGAGGAGCAGCCCTGGGGTGATGGGAGTCAAGCAAGAGGCTCTTTGCAGAGATATTTACCTTGTGACAACCTCCCAGCAAGATAAACCTGGTGCTCCTATGTCTGTTATCCCTGGGGGAGTGGCAGAGGCTGTGACAGGGATTATGGAATGCCAACACTTCACACACATCTCCCTGACCTGCCCCACTCCCTGCCCTGTGCTCTGGGCCCTGCTGGTGCTCAGCCAGGTGAGGCTCATCCTCCCTGCAGAGACCTGGGCCAAGCTCTTCACCTTTTTAAGGTGACATTTACACAGGGCTGCCAAGCTTTGGGTGTTCAGGACACCTGTCACGCCTTTGGCTGTCCCAGCAGAGTTCCTGATTAAATCCCCAACCTTCCCTCTCACCTCCAGCACCCAACACACCCCAAGCCCCTTCCTTAATGAGCAATATCCCCCAGCCAGCTCATCCATCCTGCCTTCAGACACAGCCACACACCCAAACTCCAGGCAGAACAATCTCTCACTCCAACCATGATTAAACTCCAAACCCAAACTTCTCAACGTGTGCCAGCTCCCAGCAAATGAACAATTTCACTGCCTAAGTAATTTGGAGAAATGACTGAGGGAGCTGTGCAGGCACTTGGCAGCCATGGGCAGGTTTTGATCTCGCTAGTGCCAAAGCACAGCTCTGTCCTTGGGGTAGGACAGAGCCAGGGACCCACTTGCAAAATCCTGACCTTGGGAACAGCATCAGCCCTGCTCTCTGATCTGGGTCAGGCCCAGAGTCCTGCTTTTTACAGAATTACAGGAGGGTTTGGGCTGGGAGGAGCCTTAAAAATCATCTTCTCCGACTCCTGCCATGGCAGGGACGCCTCCCACTGTCCCAGGTGCTCCAGCCCCAGTGTCCAACCTGGCCTTGGGCACTGCCAGGGATCCAGGGGCAGCCACAGGTGGGAATAATTCCTAATTTCCAATATCCCATCCAGCCCTGCCCTCTGGCACTGGGAAGCCACTCCTGTGTCCTGTCCCTCCATGTCCTTGTCCAAAATCCCTCTCCAGCCTTCTTGCAACCCCCCTGCAGGTACTGGAAAACTTGATAAGGTCTCTCCCAACCTCCTGTCCTTTTCCCCAGGAATTCCACATCCCCTTTGCTCTCAGATGGACTCACTGCAGCACCACTTGCACCAGGGATGGGGGCACCAGATTGCCCAGGAAAACCTTTCTTCATCACCACAAATGAACACGGATTTCTACAACAAATGTTACGTTTGCAGCCCCTCCTCTCCCTTCTTCTTTCCCCTCTCCTCCTTCTCTTTCTGGCTTTCTATTTGCTTTTCTCTGCCTCAGGCTTAAGTCAAGTAATTTGAATTCACTGCAAATACTTATCTGTAGTTCCTTACCTGCAATTCATTATTTACTGTGCTGTTCAGTTAATAGTAAATACTGATTGCTCTAAGGACAGCTCATTTGTTTGTTTAATGAGCTGCCTTTAACTTACACTGAGCAAATCTTTCAAACTATCACTATTTCCAAGGAGCAATGGAGTTCCAGATTCTTTTATTACATCCCCTTGCTTCCAGAAGGATGCCATAAAAATATCAGACAACCAAACAAGAAAAAAAGATTAAATTTCCATTTATCTCATCAACCTAGTGAAGAATTTCCCCTACATGTAATTACTGCATTAAAATTGCTCATAAATAGTAGCAGGATGACAGCCAAAATTCCCAGATTACTGGTCTGCCACTTCCAAGAGAAATTATAATGCACTACTAAATATGGCATCAACCTCAGCTCTTTGGTTCCCTTTTCAAATATTCCTTGTTTAAGTCCTGTACACACAAATCTTGAGGAAAGTAATGGATGCCCACAGCTGAACAGTGGTGAATCCCCTGGCTGAGCTTTTCATTAGCTAGAAGCAAGTTTAATTTCTCAGTGACATGGATGTTACAGGACTGGTAAATATTTGTGATTAGAAATTACAGCCTCCCATGTGGCCGCAGTTATGGAAGCACAGGAAAAAATGTGGAGGAAAAAACATTTCTTTCTGGTAGGAAGAAATAAAAGTTTGGTTGTTTAATGATTCCACATGAAATTGTTCATTTTAAGAGAGAGAATTTTAAACTTTCTGTATAGAAAAACACAGACCCTCAAGAAAACACTACATTTAACCTGAAGCTATAGAGAAGAGTTCCAAAATTAAATAATAAAATGAAGATTATAAATGTATAGTTTAAATAGAAGTGTGTAATATCACATAATAGAAAACTAAAAGTTTTAAAATATAATAATATATGTAAAACTAAAATAGAAGTTTTAAAACAATAACTAGTCCTTCTTTACCTTCTTCATAAGTTTAAGTTGTATTTTATAATTAAACAAAAAAGCCCA